ATGGAGGGCAGGAAGCAGGCTGGAGGAAAATTGGAATATCGGGTTAGTTCCCATCATTGCCAGATTATCTTTTCCATGGTTTATTTGTTCTGTGCCCATTCTGAAGTTGACGATAATGGAAAATGCATCTCGAAAATTTCAGGTCCGAATTCGTGAGCCTTTGGGTGAAAAGAAGCTGAATCTAAAGCAAGAGAAATGGTTGCTGTTGGAGACATAAATTTGAAAACTTGATCTTCACTGTAATTAGACTTATTTACGAGTTCATCTCCCTTCGAAACGAGGCGTACTCCATTCCCTCTGTTTTGACTTTTTTTTTTTAGTTACGCGTGTTGGGAGTGAAATTTGACCGATACTTTTAAATCCAGTGACATTCCAGGTAAATAATTAGAATTTTAGCTCCAAATATGCAGTGTATAAAACCCTCTCCTTGTTTAATAATACGTTTCACAGTGCTAATCTACTATGGATGCGATAATTAATTTGCTGTTAAAATTAGCTTGTTGATTATGGCACCAAAAAGATACAGGAAAAAGCACCAGCGGCACTTCTGGGGCCCCAATAAGCTGCTTCTCTCCCCTTCCATCCCGACCTACTTCTGCTATTCGGACTTATTAGATTGGAACAGACGATGGCTTGAAAGTGGACTGACGCAGAAGCTGCAACGCACCTATTAGTCCTGCACTGAAGTTTTGTATTATACGATATTTGATTGCTTATTATTGCTACACTGAGAATAAAAGTGAATCATGCCGAAGTTTTGCAGTTGTACTACGAATTTTCTTCCCTCACCGAACTCACAAGATTGTTTTTGATAGCGTTATTTGTGGGTGCTTAGTACACCGGGGTAGCCAAGAAATGAGAATCTGAATCTGTAAATGAGAAAAGTTTAAAACTCATCTGATTTTTGAACGAATTGTCCTCCATCCGCATCGAAATTCTTGCTAAAAGTCTTTTTTATTCCTCGTAGATGTAAGTTGTGCGCATCAGAATGTGAGAACTTATAGTCTGAGATATTATAATGGCTGCTTTAAAACAAGTGCGGAGGTGTACTCTACTAAGATCTGCGTTGAGCTACGACACATGCAGTGGTGAGAGACTGTATAAAAGAGGGCTGGAACTCGTGTCTGAGTACTTCCGACACCTCAATTATCATTGTTTTTGAAAACAGCTGTTCAGAAAGCGATAACATTGACATATGGAATGAATAAAAGACGTTTATATTGCGTTTTGAAATTAATTCAGTAGTCCTGGAGCGTGGCACTTGTTAGCGTTTATTGGTTGCATTTGATCCAGTAGTCTAATTATTAGGTCCTCAAGTGGTCTTTGATTGCAGCAGCAGAAGACAGCGAAGAATGTCAGCACTTTATTCTCCAACAAAAGCTTCACTTCAAATCATTGCGACGCGCATTGGGTGGACCCTTGCGATCATGCGTTTTTGCAATATATACACTTGACCGGAGAACCCACTCGCGAAATTTTGGCGCCGGAGCTTGCTTAGGTGCCGAGTTGAAATATCCGAATAGACACACACACACACACACCGGGGTCGTCGCAATATGAGTTTTCGCATTTGCATATGTGCAAAAACGCATAATAAAATGAGCCGGGACGCAGCACAAGCTGTTGAGCAGAAGGGGACGTTAATCGTGTGGAGGCAGCCAGTTCGTAGAGCTAGTTGTGGTGGGACGTGGCAGACTAGTGACGCGCGTTGATTCCGAGACTAAGGGCCAGGGTTTTCGGAAGGAGTTTAATAGAAAAAATTAACGGAGGGGAAAGGAGAGCAAGGTAATTAGTAAGTGAGAAGGTAGGTAATATAGGAGGGTAAGGTAGAATTATTTAGAATTTGCTGGAACTGTTAGAAATTAGTGAGTGGAGCGAGGTAGGTCGAAGTATTAAGGATTAGTGAGAGGAGGGAAATAGGTTGAATTGTAGGGTCACACATTTTTTATGATTTTCCAGTATTAAAGGTTCCGGGGCCAGATTCCTCGATTTCAGAGAAGAAAGTTTTGATAGCTGAAATATCAGCTCCTATAATAACATAAAATCATTTTAGTATTTCCCATTTTCAGCTTTTCTCATCGTCCTTTTTTCCGGTTTGCTGTTTTCTTATTTTTTTTTTTGAATTCTCATTTGTCATTTCACATTGTGGCCGTTTTGTTTTTGTTGATATTTCTCGTAGGATTTGATTTATATATCCTGTTTTTATAGGCGTTGCCTTAGCATCTGTCAGTGGTCTGTATCAACGGAGGATTGGGGCTTCTGCCTCGACTAGGGGCCAAGTTGCCTGCTTATGAGGTCTCATTTCGATTTCCGATATTCAACAAGCAATGCCAAACAATGCCTGTATTCATCGCCTTCCCTGTATTCATCATCCTCTCGCCAACCATTGCTTCCAGCTTGTCATCTTCACTTGCAACATATCAGTTCAGTCAGAGGGCTATGTCTACCAGTTTTAGATTAGCAAATTCATTACTGTCCCATCCTGTCCAGTTCATTGCTGTTCTGCACGCGTCGCTTGTTACATTACACGTAGAGCCGTTCTAACAACGTCATTCATGCCTCACGCGCCAGAACGACCCACATATTCCGCATAATTTTTACTGATCTGTTGGAAAAGTGCTATTTCCTGGGTTACCTTCGAGTACCTTCCTCTACCATAGCGAGTGAAATGTGGAGAAGATGGGTTTCGACTTTTGCCTCCAGAGTTGCAAATTTATTTGATTTCTGCATGTCATCTTCACTTGCAACGGAGAACGGCATAAGCCCTTAACAGAAGACTTAAACTACACATCAACGGTACTAAGCTTTATGCGTTGCTCGTTGAGGCAGCCATGTACAGTTTAAAACCATTATCGGATTTCACTCGGATTAAAAAAGCGTAATCACGGAACTGCCTTTTTCATAACTACAAAATATCTAAATTTAATTTTACGAAGAAACAATTCGCGTACGAAACGAGTGCCGGTGGATGGCACCGAGAAATGATGAACGTCTTGGAACGAACATATTTCAGCTGTGAAGTATCACTGCTTCCTGCATTAACTGCTTTAGATTTTTCGTATCTTCACTTCACTTTATTTTCCTCGCAACTGTCTCTTCCAGAAAAATACAACTTTGAGATCATTTTTTAAAAACAGCGTGGATTACACGTGTGCGTGCGTGTATCAAACGTGCGTGTGTTATACGTGTGTTGACGGGCATGTATATCCCTTGCTAGCCTCTTGTAAAGATCCTAGTTTAATCCGAGCACTTAATTTTGAAGCAGAAACAATCTAGCTCCTTCGCGAAGCTAAGCACAGTGACCCATAAAATGAACTACAGAATGAATTAAATGAACGGACAGGACCGGAGTAAACTGTGCTGAATTACTGGAAGGAGAATTAAATACATGAATTTGCTAAATAAGTTAGCCGGAATGAACTGAATAGATAATCGAAATGAGTGAACAAGCTGGTGAGATAAATGAGGATCTAAATGGACTATGGCTTGAAGTGAACTGAAATTTGATTGGGGATGTTGGGTTGAATTGAAATGGGCGGCTGAAATGAGGGAATGAGTGAGATGGGTGACTGAAATGAAGGAAAATCTAATTTTAATACAAGAATAAGAAAGAGTGCGCGAAAAAACCGATATTGGCTTTGGAAAGATCTTGCTGTCTGAGAGAGGTACGGAGTTTTTGAGGGCAAGCGCGAAAAAACGAGCAGAGAATCCCTGCCAATGGGCATGCGTATTTCTGAATGACAGCCAGAAGAAGGGGTATATTACAAGAAGAAATTTTCGGATAAAATTTTCGTAGAAGTACATTCAATAGCGGCTCTGTTGTTTGCACTTATCGGTCACCCTGTGGTCATCGCCATTGTCTACTACGCATTTCGCATTTCCGGTACTGAGCGTTTCTTGCGAAAGCCGAAATTTGAACGCTCAATTCGGTCAAATGTTCGCTTATTCTGCACTGGTATCGGCAACGAATCCATCACATAACCAACTGAAATTTTCAGTTTCTGAGAACTACAAATCCCGAATAAGTTGCAGTTCCTGGATAACATCTTTGATATGAACATCTAAGACTGAAAGCTGTAGTCACACACAGATACGTACATACATAAACATGCGCCAGCACAGATATTTTAATACATAAAGGAGGAAAGCGATCACATAAAGATGCAGAATCTTTCGAAACATTCAAAATGAATACCTCTTGGATATGGGAGAGAATTTGTTCTCTTGGCGAGGCCGAAACCATTGCCTTCGATCTTGTCGAATGACCTTTTGACTAAGCCAAAATCGAATGAATCAATGCGATCGAACGCCCGCTTGCTGAGGCCAAAATCGGGACTTTCCAAGCGATCGAGCATTCGTTTTGCAAGCCCGAACCCAGATGTGTCAAGTCTGTCGAAGGCGCGTTTGCTGAGTCCAAATCCGGAACTGTCAATGCGATCAAAAGCTCTCTTGCTCAGCCCAAAATCGGAAGTTTCTAAGCGGTCAAATGCTCGCTTCTCGAATGCAGTTTTTCTAAAATCCCTGCTTGCTTTAGCATTACTTTGAAAAAGTTAAAAAAAAACGTTCTTTTAGGTAGCATGCACGATACTACAGCAAGGTGGGACTGCTTTAGGACCAGACTGACCAAGGGCCGTTGATTAACATGCGTTGGCTAAAAGAAAGTGAAGAAGTCTGCTTTACTCAATCTAAAAGTCGCGATATGTGGAAGATAATCGTGATTTACAAGGCAAACCATAAAAAATTAGCTCTATGATAATCTTAAGTAATGAAGTTCCAGGCAAGAGACGCTGGAACACCAGTTTTGACGTGTGACTGCGTTTCGATAATTTTCCAAAAACAATTCGTAGTGACCGTGAAAACTTACTGGGGTAGCTCCATTTGCTGGTAGTCCTGCTCAGGATATAATAAAGACGCGCTTATACCAAATACCTGAAACCAAAAAGAACGACCTTTGCCTTGTTTTGCTTCTCGGATAATATTCCAGAAAAGGAGCACTGGATTTGCTGTAGCACGCTTTCGATGGATTATTAGTAGCCTCTGCGAGATAAAATAATTGGCCAACGTATGGGCTGCCCGTGCAAAGATGCGTTTTTTGCATAGTTCCCCGCAGTTTTTGTTGCTACCGGCACCGGCTTTTCGGTAAATGCTTCTAGCTAAACAAATTACGGCTGGCCGCCAGAACTGTCAGAAAACACCCCTAAAAATTTTAGCTTTCTAACTCCCCTGGCTCTCGAGTTAGTAGCTTGCTGGAAAAAAAACTTTCACGGGCCCATGCATGTATACCACGCGTACCCGAGAGTTGGGTTTGAGCTGAATGAAACTTAGGTGAACGGGGTATATCCTCTCAAAATTACAGTCCTTTAGATTCTCAGGTACTGGAGTTATCAAGTTACCCGAAAAAAATTTTGGCGCGCTCGTACGTAGGTACCATGCTCACCCGGGGGCTGAATTTGAGCTCATTAATACCTACTTAGACGGGGAACATCCCCTTAAGATTTCACCTTTCTAGCATCTCAGATCCTCGAGTTATGAACTTACCCAGGAAAAATTCTGGCGAGCCCGTGCGCGGGTACCACGCTTACTCGGGGGCTGGATTTGAGCTCATTTGGACTTACGTGGACGGGAAACATCCCTTTAAGATTTCAGACTTCTAGCTTTTCTGGTTCGCTAGTTTTCAACTTACCCGAGAAAAATTTTGACGGGCTTGTAGGCGGGTACCACGCTTACTCCGGGGGGAGGTAGGTTTGAGCCTACTAATACCCACCTTGACGAGGAACATTACCCTAACACTTCAGCTTTCTAGCTTCTCAGATTTCCGAATTATGAATTTACCCGTAAAAAACTTTGGCGGGCCCGCATGCTGGTACCATGCGGGTAATGGCGCGCATTTTTGGGATTGGGGACCGTATGTGCATGTAAATTAAGTTCCCAGATTTTCAGCCCTGTAGCTTTTGTAGGTCTTGAGATGAAAAACCGTGACAGGCGCGCACACGGACACACAGACACATAGACACACACACAGACAACCCCTCGTCAATATGCGTTTTCTGGATTGCACAGCTGCAAAAAACGCATCAAAATGCGCTTTCAGAAACAAGTGATTTCATGAATTTTTCCTGCATAATTTTAAAAGTGTAATTTTTCTCACTTGACATGGAAATACGCTTCTAAAATTTCAGCTTTCTAGCTTTTCAAGATGCTGGTTGATAGTGAACGAAAAAATGCGTACACGAATACAAAAATGCACACACACACAGACACACACACAAATTTGTTAACATGTGTTTTTGCTTGTGCATAAATACGCAGAAATGCATAAAAGTAAGCCCCATTCTGTCTCTTTTCCTGCCTTCCATTTTGACTTCGACTAAATGGCACTTTTACGAAAATCATTGGCGACGCGCACCGGGCGGGCCTGTGCAGTCATGTGTTCTTGCAGTATTTCGTGCTGTAGCGAGATCGCTCAGAAACATGTTAGCTAGGATTAGTGACATAGTGGTCCTCGAAGTCCGGGAAGTTGATTTTATATGCGGTATTTGGACAGGGTACATTTCGTTGAAATTTCAGCTGCCCAACTTCACTGGTTCATGAGTTTGTAATTTTCCTGCTAAAAATTTTCACGGGCAGCGCTAGAAAACCACGCACACTCGGGGACTGATTTTGATAAATTTAAGCCGTACACAGGCTGGGTAATTCCCTGAAAGTTTCAGCTTCCCGCTTTCTGGTTTCCGAGTTAGCCATTTCCGCGCCAAAAACTTTTATTGGGTCAAGGACCACATACGCTTGGGAAATGAATTTAATAACTGTAAGTTGTACTTGCGCTTGGAATATTTCCTGAAAATTTCAGCCTCCCAGCTTTCCTGTTTCCCGAATTAGCCATTTTCCCGCCAAAAATTTTTACGGGGCCGTACGTGATCACCACTCAAACTGAGGGGTTGAATTTGAAAATTTAAGTTGTACGTGTGCTTGGAACATTCCCTGAAAATTTCAGCCTCACAGCTTTCTTAATTCCGGAATTAGCGATTTTCACGCCAGGAACTCTCATGGGACCATACGCAGGAACCGCGCACACCTTGGGGCTGAATTTGAAATCTTTGAGTTCTATGTTGACTAGAGACATAACATCAAAACTTCAGCTTTCTAGCTTTTCCGGTTCCCGAGTTGGCAATTTCCCTGCCAAAACTTTCACCCCCTCATACGCGGGACTTAGACTTGCTTGAGGGTTGGTACCGCAGTCCTGGGGTGTCAATTGGCCGAGGAATCTACTGGCAAAATTTTGGCGCCGGAGCTTGCTTGGGTGCCAGACAGACACACACACACACACCGGGGTCGCCGT